TAACAGCATTTGTTCAGTTACGTTGGCCCAGTTTTGTCTGACTGAGGAAGGTAAGGTAGGTAACCAGTTTTTGATGACGGGAGGCATGAAGCGACCTAGTTGGACGGTACAGATATCCATGTTTTCAATGCCTACGAAATTTGCCTGTAATTCAAATTCTTTGATGTAGGTACGTAAGCTAGAATGCAATTCATACCGTGGCATGTCAATAGACTTGACCTTTTCAAGGTTCATGTATTGGATGAACTCCTTGGTGTTGGAATCGGCCATGTTAACGGACTGTGGGGTGGTGTGATAAGATGATGTGATAGACGAGGTACTGTTTGTTGTGGTGTAAACCTTTCGAAGGGATGCGATAAATTTTACTTGCTGCGTGAAGTAGTTTTTTGGTTCTGTTGTTCGGGCCTGTTTGCGAGTAGGTGATTGCAGCTGTGTGCTGGAGCGATGTTTTGTGATCTTGCGATATGTGTGATCTTGCGATATGTGTGATTTGGTGTAGTCGAGTGTGAGCCTTTGATATATCTAGTGGTTTCCGGGTTCGAGAATTCAGTTAGGGAGCCTCACCATGTATTGTTCAGGAATAAAGGAACCACTATAATATGTAGGAAGAAGAAAGACTGACGTTTATTGATGTGGATGCTTGGATCTTTATACCATTGATATGGTGTTACACGACATAGTCTGTTCCAGATTGGACAAATCTTGATAATTTTGGATTCGATTAAGCTATTTTTGCAGATTCAACTAAGTAGAATATAATGATCATTCTGTATTTTCTTAAGATTTCCTGGAGTACTTTTCAAGGTGCATCCACTGTTACTAAGTAAAATAGATGATTTGAATAAACTTATCAAATGATTTATGAAAATATGAAAAGAGGTTTCTGGCCAAAAAGTCGAAATTTTACATATCAAAGTCCCACAAAGATGATTTCAGAGGTTACTTTGGATCGATAGAAACGTTTTGATTCAAGATATACTATAGTAAAAGTCTTCGTTATCAAGGTCAAAAACTTGATCGTTTGATTTTCGATGAAAACCATGAGGGGTACCTCATGCTTTTTGGTCGAATTTAGCCCATGTTTTTTGATCCCCAAAAAAGTTGAGCAAAGATGTCAGAAAGTAGTTGCCAGATGAGAGCAATTGTTTGGTACTATTCCGGTGGTCTAAAACGGCTTTTAACGCGAGAAATTACGTATCAAATGTATGCAATTCTGGCTGTATTAGGCACACTTTTGACTAAAAAGGGGCAATATCTGTTTGATACTTGCCCGTATATGAAATAACTACGTGTATAAGGATGTAGAGCATCACATAAGAATCGGATCCACAGATAATATAAAGGGGTTTCATGTGTAAGTGGAGGGTCAACATGAAAGTAGCAGTATTTTGATAACATACACAAGAGCAATCAGTAGCGCGAGCTGCCGCTGCGCAGGTTGGTTCTCACCTAAGCGAAGCGAAGGTAGAGAGCTATCCGAAGCATAAGCACTAATATGATTAGTGACTATATATCAATCAACAATCAGGATTCTTTTAACATTTTAGCTATATCAATTTTGCGATATTAACCAAAGGTCCACGGCAGAGCGAGCCATTTGAACGTAGGTTGGTTTCCACCGAAGCCAAGCCTAGGTCAGGAAACCACCTGAAGTGTCGAAAGGCTCGTATATCAATAAAAAAGCTGTATATGCTTTCTCTGTGCAGATAGCGTCAGTTGCTTCCAGACCAACAAGATGCACAGAACGCTAGCAGTAGTTGTATAGCCTCCTTATGTGTGCCCCTGATTATTGAAGCTCAGTCACTGTCTGATCTACTAAATACACAATCAATGTTCATCTCTAGAATGAACTATATCTTACATGTTGCATTTTACTCATGTCTCAAAAGATTTCACGTCTTACAAAATGCCATGAAATCATCTAAAAACTCTCAACATGGTGAATTGATGAATCCAAACTTATGCGTAGTTCCAGCATTGGCCATTCATGATTAGCGTGAAACCAATGGACTAAAAATGCTGCGGGACTATTAGATCATTAAGGATGATCTAAGAATATAGTGTGTTTTATTGGGCAAATTGCAAATAGTGGCTGAGACATTCATACGTACAAAAAAAAAAACAGTTTAGCTCCTTGAATTATTTTTTCGTTTTCTTTTTTCTCTTTATCCATTTTATTTTTAATTACAACCAAGAGTAAAATGTCTTCTTATTCATCCTCTTATCATCATTCGTCTTCTGGTGGTGGACACTCATCTGGCGGTTATTCTAGCAGCCGTGGTGGTAGCAGCAGTTACCGCGATAACAGAGAAACATCTCCTAGAAGATCTAGCAGACCGTAAGTTTATATTTTGTGTGTGTATATCAAGAAAATTTTTTCTAAATTACGAAATTTTGAAATCAATTAGTTCATCTAGCTATGATGGCCATTCTCGTGGTGCTGATGATCGTGGCTACTCTTCTTACCGCTCTAGTGGTGGTGATAGTTCAAGAGGTAGCGGCCATGGATATGGTGGCAGCTCTGACCGTGGCTATGGAGGTAGCTCTGATCGTGGTTATGGTGGCGGCGGCTACGGTGGTAGCAGTGGTGGCTATGGAGGTGGAAGCTACGGAGGTGGTAGCAAGAGCTATGGCGGCAGTGGTGGATATGGCCAATATTCTCAAGGTAGTGGCACTACTAATGGAGCTGGTCTTCAAGACATTGATTGGGATTTGTCTGCTTTGCCTAAATTTGAAAAGAACTTTTACACTGAACATCCTGATGTCGCTAACCGTTCTGAACAAGAAGTTGCAGCTATACGTGCTGAAGCCAACATGAATGTCACTGGTCATGATGTTCCCAAGCCTCTGAAGACATTTGATGAAGCTAATTTCCCTTCTTATGTCATGGACGAATTGAACAAACTCGGGTTCTCTCATCCTACTCCCATTCAATGTCAAGGTTGGCCCATGGCTTTGAGTGGTCGTGATGTCGTAGGTGTCGCCGAAACTGGTTCTGGTAAAACCTTGGCCTACACACTCCCTGCTATCGTTCACATCAATGCACAACCTTTGCTTCAACCCGGTGATGGACCCATTGTTCTCGTCTTGGCTCCTACTAGAGAACTCGCTGTTCAAATTCGTGAAGAGTGCGTCAAGTTTGGTTCTACTTCTCGCATCAAGAACACTTGTCTTTATGGTGGTACCCCTCGTGGTCCTCAAATTCGTGATCTTGCTCGTGGTGTTGAGATCTGTATCGCTACTCCTGGTCGTTTGATTGATATGCTTGAAGGTGGCAAGACTAACTTGAAGCGTGTTACTTATCTTGTTCTTGATGAAGCTGATCGTATGCTCGATATGGGTTTCGAACCTCAAATCAGAAAGATTATCAACCAAATTCGCCCTGATCGTCAAACTCTCATGTGGTCTGCTACTTGGCCCAAGACTGTTGAGCGTTTGGCTCAATCTTACCTCAAGGATTACATTCAAGTTACTATCGGTTCATTGTCCCTGAGTGCTTCTGAAAATGTCACTCAAACTGTCGAAGTCTGCACTGAACCCGAAAAGCGCGGCAAGCTCATTACTCAACTTGAGCGCATCATGGAAGCTCCTGAAAACGAGAGAAAGACCATCATTTTTACCAGTACTAAGCGTACAGCTGACGACATTACACGTTTCCTTCGTCAAGATGGCTTCCCTGCTCTTGCTATTCACGGTGACAAGCAGCAAAACGAGCGCGATTGGGTCTTGAATCAGTTCCGTTCTGGAGGACACCCCATTATGGTTGCTACAGATGTTGCTTCTCGTGGTATCGGTACGTATTGTTTTATTTCTTTTTTTTTGAATATTTGAACGACAAGGAAAGATGGATTTGCAAAGGGTTGTTCTAGCCCTTTCAACATTCTCATAATTGCGCTCTTTTATACATGTATATACATCTCTTCCGGTTCTATTTGGTCACTTGCAACCTTACACGACATGTGTTACGGAAACAAAGGCAGAGAATATCGTTGTATATATGTATATGTGTATGAAAAAAAGGATGCTATGTGTGTATCAGGTAAATTGTATCGAATAGTACATCAAAGAGGGCTCTTTTTTCTTTTTTCTTGATTTGTGTTTCTCCTCAAGGTAAGAAGAGTTAAACGGAAAGGAAAAAAGAAACAAGGCGGATTGTCTCTTTGGTTATTATCTCTAGCAAAGCATGTCCTCTCTTTTTTTTATGACTATATGGCGTTATTATGGAAATGATTACATTTCTCTTGATAATCATTCGAATATTTGATCTTTGCATCAATATGTTCTTTATTTCTTACCTTTTTTTTTTTTATTTATATTTGAATTTGTTATCAAATCATTGTAGATGTAAAGGATGTCAAATTTGTCATCAATTATGATTTCCCCACAAATATTGAAGACTATGTTCATCGTGTTGGTCGTACCGGTCGTGGTGGTAACACTGGTCACTCGTTCACCTTCTTTACTGCTGATAACGCCCGTCAAGCCCGTGAATTGGTTGATATCCTTCAACAAACCAATCAAGTCGTTGATCCTCGTCTTCAAATGTTGGTCCAACATCGTGGTGGTGGTGGTGGTGGTGGCCGCGGTAGAGGAGGTTATCGTGGTGGCCGTGGCCGTGGCGGATACGGTGGTGGTCGTGGTGGCGGAGGAGGAGGTTACGGTGGTGGTTATGGCGGCGGTGGTTATGGTGGAGGCAGCAGATGGTAAACCTTTGCTCTTCTGCTCTTCCATCTCTCTCTCTTTTGCTTTTACAAATATTTAGACATTTATCCCCTTTTAGTTTCTTCTTTTTCAACATTACAAATGTAAATAATCTGCTATTTGCTTTCTACTTTTCTCCATTATTACTCAAATAAACCATTATTTTCACCTTGAAATCGCTATTCTATAGTATGGGGGCATTGAAGCGCCGTTTGTGTGTTGCAGGGGGAGCATAGATAGCTTACTCGCAGAAAAAGATTTTTTCTCGATTTTTTCTCTTCATTTTACCCTGTTTCAACATGTCGAATCCCACAGAGAACAATGAGGCGCCACCAGTGTCTCTCAAAGAGATGAAGAAGTTTGAAAAGTGGACCAAATCATTGCAATACATTACTGGACTCGGCATGACAGAAGCAGAAAAGCAAGAGTTTAAGAAACGTCTTGATGTTGACCTGGAGGAATACCAGTGCAATCAGTGTGAAATCTGGAGAGACAACTTGCTAAAGAACAGCCCTCCTGTGAGGTTCATGGTAGACCAGCTCAAGAAACTGGACAAAAACATGACAAAGGAGGATTTCCAATGCATGCCGTGTGATGAGACGAAATCAGGTGGATTCTCGCCTGTACATGGCATCCTGCTATGCCAGAACAGACTTGGTACAAAGACCATGGAGGAGCATACCATGGTTCATGAGATGGTGCACATGTACGATCATCATAAATTCAATGTAGACTGGAATAATTTGAAACATCAAGCTTGCAGTGAGGTATAATGTCAATAAGTTGCCAAAGCGATGACATTATGGACTAAAATTAAATTTTAGGTTCGAGCAGCCAGTTTAAGTGGAGATTGTCGTTGGACACGAGAGATCCAAAGAGGCTTCTTTACATTCACCAAGCAACATCAAGCCTGCGTCAAAAGAAGAGCCATTATCTCTGTCACTCAAAATCCCAACTGCAAAGACAAGGAGGAAGCTGAGCGCGCAGTATCCAGTGTGTTTGAAAGCTGTTTTGCTGATACAAGACCTTTTGATGAGATTTATTAAACATCAACAAGCTTCGTTACACCACTACTACCCTAATGACGCGACATTTGTCTCCTTTAACACTTGAGATGCACACTATATTTAAATAGACCTGTAATAAAAAACTTATTCCCTTTTTTTTCTCTCTTCTCCCTTTTTCTTTCTTCTGTCAATATAAAACACTATTGAAAAATGGCCACTGCTAATCCCTATAGTGCTCAAGGCGTTCAAACAAAGGTCAAGGAGGTGCTTGCCACTCTTGATACCCAATTGTCTCAGTTCAAATATGCCAATGAATTTGAGCAAAGAACTGGTGTTCCCAAGAGCTATGTCGCTCTTGGTGCTGGTGGTATCGCTTTCTTGATGATTTTTTTCAATTTGGCTGGACAACTCTTGACAAATGCCATCTCTTGGATCTATCCTGGTAAGCTTTATATACATGTAGCAAAAAGAATCTAGTATCTCATGCCATGACTTAGCTTATGCCTCTTTCAAGGCTATCGAAACTGTTGACAAAGCTGATGATAAGCAATGGTTGACTTACTGGACCGTTATTGGATTCCTCCAAATGGTTGAGTACTTTTCTGATATCCTCCTCTACTGGTTCCCCTTCTACTACCTCTTCAAGACATTGATTGTTCTCTACTTGGCTTTGCCTCAATTCAGAGTAAGTAATGCGGAAGAGAAGAGAAGCAAAGGATGGGTTTGGGCTGTGTGGGTGTGGGTGTGTGCTTGTGTACATCTGGAAGCATTGTGTGTGAATTATCTACATGTACTAATTCTATCTTGACTTTTAAGGGTGCTGAGACTCTCTATGTTCGTTTCTTACGTCCTTACCTCCTTAACGCTCAAGGTGGTATCGATGCCCAAACCGATAAGCTCAAGGCAAAACTTAGCGAATTCACCGGTGATGCTAGCAAGACTGAATAAGTCTACCTATAACACAACACTGTAGCTCTTGAAAGCAATAAAAAAAAATCAAGTATCTTATAAGTGTATCATGGATCATTGAGTCATTTGTGTTCAGACCAAGTTCAGATTTTTCTTGCGTTTGTGATGTGACATTGGATAGCAGTTGGTTTGGATACATCGTATCGTGTTGCAAAAATAGATGTCATTCAGCAAGATTTCGTCTGACTCGCATGTTTGTAATTGCAAGGCCCTACTTCATTGTGCATTTCTTTTGTATTATGGCTTTATTATTATCAGCATCGCTTGGTATATTTTAAAAGGAAAAATGTAACCTTCAGTTACGCGAAAATCAAACCTAGCAAATTCACATGAAAACGAGGGGTACAAACGTATTTCTTGACGCCTACCCAATCTGAGTGCATTAAACTATATTAAAAAATTACAGAAATCGATACTCTGAAGCCTCAGAGGCAGCTGCACGTTGCATTAGTTAGCGTAACTGACACTCTTCGTAGCAAAGCAGGTTTCAGTTTTTTATAGCATTTCAGACAAATCAATGCCACTTAAACCCTACTGCTCTTACGAAGACTATGTAACCAACACTAAGTCCTTGCAACCAACTTGCAGACTTTGTCCCTCATTCAATTTGAACGTAGTTCTGTACAATACGGATTTTGAATCCAGGTACCAGCATTTGAAGCATGATGGCATACTGAAAGCACCTCCTAAGCTCAATCAATCGATGAAAAAAATGATGTTCCTGGTGTTTCTTGCACTGTATTCACAGCGTCGATATGTCAGATAGTCATTTCGCTACCTTTCATTTATGACAACACGGTACCATCCGCACTGAATTTACATCTAATAAACTCAGGCAAAATATAATGCCAGTTGAACACGAGAATCAGGAAAGATGCAGTACAACAATAGTCTCATTAGGGTATAATGATAAGAGCTATAGAAAATGTATGATGTCGTGTGATCTAAGGTTTCTTGAGCATGCTCACCTGCTGTTTTCATGATGAAGATAGCCCAACATTGAAGGTTGACGTTAGATTTAGGCCTGGCTTTACAATATAACTCGCTATACTCTGCTAAAGAGGCTACTACTCATGACATGTTCTGCATCTTGCCATAACAAACTAGTATGTACGTAGAGATTGATCCAATGTCTTGCTCAAATGTTGATTCGTCAGTGGTGTATTCCTCTCGGTTAAAATAGTTGAAATGTTGGTTTTATGAATTGATATGAATGTCATAACCTCTCAAGACGTACGTGAGATGAAATACTACACAAATTTTGATTTGTATGGAATCTTTTTCTAGTTGAAAAAGTAAGAGCAAACCACTAATCAAATTAGGGGTTTGGTGTAGGATACACTCTATAAAATGCGCTTATTAAAAAGTGGACGCTTCATCATTCATCACCACACACCTTTTTTCGTAATTCTGGGCTCTTTGTGTACTCTTTTTTATCCCACTATGCAATAAAATGGCGCAAAAAAAGGAAGAGTCTTCTAGTTCAAGCTTAAAGTAGGTACATTTCCCTTTAAGGCACTGTTTTTTGCAATTAACAACTTTACAATAAAGATCTCTGACTAAGGTGCCCTTCAACTGTTGGTGGAGTGACCAAGTGCTGTCTCCAACAGAAGACAACAACCAAAGCGCAGCAACTCCTTACCGAGATTTTGTACTCATAAGCGAATTTTCGGAGCTGGAAGGACCGTTGCCATTAGCTATCGTTACAGAGACAACTTACATTGATCTGAAGCATTATACAAACACAGTTTTGGATAGATCATTGCAGCAAGATTTGAAAAAGATCGGCCTGGAGTCATTTGATTTCAATTCTTTTGTTCTTCGCGTTGTATCAGTGGATAGAAGCACAGAATACGAGTAATGTCTTTCTAGATGCACATATACATTTAGCTGATCATTGTTTGCGTAGGCAAATTGATGAAGAGTCCAAGGAGCAGCAGGCACCCATGACTCCATCGTCTCTGCTTGAGGAATCTCAAGCGCCATGTTTGTTCTCGATCCCGGATGATACACAGGTGTATTTCACAGATTCTGAACACAAATTTTTTGCTTTTGTGAGTGGCAACCGTCTTGTTCAAACTCGAATTTATATAGCTAGCTTACAAACTGACAAATAGACGCATCATCTAACGTTATTCGATATCAATGCAAGAGGCTATGTTCATCCAGTAGCTTTGTCCTACATCACACGAGATCCAGACAAGATTGTAATTCGATTCGAGGAATTGATGGAGAAATTCAGTGAAGTAGAGTATCTACCATAATCACTTATTCAGTCCGTCTGACTCTCTTTATAGGTGTCCATACGGATGAAGAAGGGAAACTACTCCAACTTTACGCTTGACTTGAAATGTAGATTACTGGACTTAGAATATACGCAATCAACGCAAGCATTTTCTGCCAACACAACCAACAATTGCAACAAGCAGCCACTGCAGCAGCAGCAGCAGCAGCAGCAGCAGCAGAAACCTGCTCTGTCCATGCAGGCTATCCAGCAAGCAATCACAGCGACCAAACTCATGATAGACACCTTGGAATCGAGCACAAGTCAAATCAACAACATGACATCGAACCGTACTACAGAAGCTGCTGATACCTTGCGCGCGGAAAGGAAAAAGGTGTCGACACAAGAGAATGAGGCGCTTGCATCCAAACATGTGGCAAAAGAGCAGCATTTCGTTGATCCGCCCAAAGATTACAAACCTAAATGCATCGATACACTCTATCCTGTAGCTCATTTTGAGAGGAAGCTGCGCTCATTAGCACAGTTGTGTCAGGAGCCTGATGAAGGGGAGGAGGAGAACAAGCAAGACACTGAACAAAGCAACAGCCATATCAAGCGACCCAGTGTCACACAAAAAACTGCTGCCATGATACCACTAGTGTTTTCCATGATTGAGCCTTCATCCACACCTTCTATGTCAGTTTCATCTTCATCAGCAACAACAGCAACCATCACCTCTGTATCCAACAGCCCCCAACGTCCTACTTTTGCAAACGCCATCACGCATGACATGTACGCTGAAGCCATCAAGTACATCCAAGACATGACGCACTGCCTGGGACAAAGCAGTGTCGTGCTCGATGTGAATGAAGAAGAAGAGCTGTTTTTGGATCCCAAGTCATCTGCATTGACATTTGGACGCACATTTATGCTGAATATGGATAATCCTCAACCTAGAGAGTGAGTGGCTGCGTGGATATCTCAAGTTTAAGATACTCATTGTGGTGTTTTATTTAGAAAAGAAGAACTGAATGCACCAGCAAGTCCAACAGGAAAGGTGGGTTATTGGCACGGCTTTATCCTAATTATATGCCATCGCTAAATCCCTAGTTTTGATGATATGTAGGACGATGAAAAGGAGAGACTGAATGAAGAGAAAAGCAACGCATCTGATAGCAAAGCAGCAGCAGCAGCAGCTGTCGAGAATGTCTCCTTTACAGACGATGAGCATCATACCCACTGTCATAACGAAGAAGAATTATTTTACCCAATACTGTTTGCTCCAACACAAGTGTGGAGGTCTGAAAGTCGCGGTGCTACAAAAACGCATTTACTACAAGTACTGCGACGATACCAATCCTTGGTGGTGGATGTTATCTTTTCCCTGTTAATTGGAAGAACAGTGATTATTCAGGGCAGTGAAAAGAATAAAAGGTAAACTGAGAAATAACGGCAAAGCTCAGTTTGCTGAACGTTTTTCTCGTATTACGTAGCCTGGTGCAGCAAGTAGTGCAAGCACTCTCTGTCTTTGTGCCGGGCCAGAGTCGAGAGAGAAATCAGGTTATTGAATGGTTTGAAACTGCCAAACTGACAGATGCTCAAATCAAAGGCATCAAATTGGTGGGCGTTGACAAAAATTGCATGGATCCAAGCATTCATGTAGATAGTAGTTGTGTCCTGGACATTGATGTCAAGAATGGATCTCTCAACTCCAGTCCGGTCTACGTAGAAGGGCAATGGATTAACCAGCTGTTGGATCGAATGATGCTATTTTCAGTAAGTGGATTACTGTTATTTCGCTTGTGACATATTCACTCATAGACTACAACACAGTCGGATGAGTCCTATCTTGCTTATTTGCATACTGTGTTCATGAACATATCGCTAAAAGCGTTTGTATATCATCACCTTTACGTCTGCGAAGAATTCAAACTGGATGAAAGCCCTCCTCCAACGACACCAAGCAATAGCAACAAAGGATACACTTCTGAAACTGGCTCTGAAAGCAGCACTTTGAGTCGAAAGTGGAGTGTGCGACTTATGAATTACCTCAAAAAGCATGAAGACCAAGAAAGCAGCACTAGCACAACAGCATCATCGATGACATCTTCTGGCGCGTCATCTCTTCAGGGCAGTGAAGATGAGGAAGATGAGGACTATTCTGAAGAAAACCAAGCTACTGTAACACTACAGAGTTTGAATAGCACGCATTATCCCCATACCACCACCAACAGCAGCAACAGTACGCACAATAAAAACAAGCCAAATACTATTATTGGCTTATTCCAGCAAGATGGACCTACAACAGCTACCACTACAGCGACGCCGAGCCAATATATAGATCATACTACCTTGAATGACGTGCGTCGTGAAAGTATATCCACAACCTACAGTGTTAGTAGTCGCAGAGATCTGAGTCCTTCTGATGATAGCAGTCGTACCAGCAGCGATGATGATGACGATGAGGAGGAGGATACATTTAGCCAACGCATGAGGATGGCAGAAAACGCATCTTATCTCGATTTTGAAGCCGATGATTTAGTTCAGTTTAGTGATACGCGCGATAGCGATGATAGCTCAACGGGTGGTGAAAGCGAAGAGGATACAAGGTTGTCGAAAGAACACGAAAAGCCAAATTATAGTAGAAGAAGAGGAAAGCATAAGTTTAGAAAGCCTTCGGATGTTGGACCTGATGGTGTATCGTTTACTGAAAGAAGAGGCAGAAGATATTTGCAGGAGAAACTAAAGGTGTATGGTGATGATCAAACCATTGTAGTTGTAAGTTGATGTATAGCGTTATCAGAGCGTTGCAATCTCATTATTTGGATTGTTCATAGTACCTTGCTACATGTGTCTTGTGAAAAGCAGCTTCTATACCGCTACTGGCCCACCCTGACTTTGGTTCGTTCTTTTTGATTATTCGCCAACATCCACCAAGATGGATAGATTGATTTTTTTTTATTAAACTCGTTAAAAAAACCAGCCTTGAGCTGCCAAATGCGATTGTCCCACTGATTGACGCTTAAATTTTACTTTTCATTTTTTACCATCAAGTGAGAGCCCTCCATAACTGAGGGTTTGAATTTTTTTACGACCTTCACGTCTGTATCAGCAGGAACTACTCATACCTGGACAGACAGCACATTTACATTGCCTCTAGTGGCTCAAATATATGCAAAACACAATGAAATCTGGATTCATTTGAATTGTGTTTTCTCGCGTTAGAAGCCGCTTCAAACCATCAAAATAGCAACGAATGGTTGCTTTCATCTAGCACTTGCTTCTTGACACCTTTACCCAAATTTTTTGGAATCGCCAAAAATCGACTCCAAGCCATGAGGGTTACCTCATGGTTTTCATCGAAAATCAAACGATCGCGTTTTTCACCTTGATAACAAAGACTTTTACTATGGTATATCTTGAATCAAAATGTTGCTATCCATCCAACGTAACCTCTGAAATCATCTTTGTGGGAATTTGATATGTAGAATTTAGACATTTTGGCCAGAAACCGCTTTTCATATTTTCGTAAATTATTCAATAAGTTTATTCAAAACATCTACGTTACTTGGCACCATTGGATGCGCCTTTAAAAACACTCCAAGAAAGCTTAAAGACGCATAGGGTGATCATCATATTCTTATAGTCGAATCTGGCAAAATAATCGGATCAAGTCGAAACTCTTTCAAATTTAGCCAATCTGAAGTAGACTAAGAGTCTGAACTTGAATTAATTTTGGCTGGTGGATCCTGCTGGCAAACTCTATGCCCTATTAATCATGATGGCAATACAGTGATAATAGATGCTTTTGAAGCGTATGGAAAGTAGGTGGCAAATTATATAGCGCTATTGTCAGTCATGCTATTCTTCTTGCGTTCTATATTTAATAGCGTCAGTCTACCAAAATACTTGTCAGGTCAACTTCTTTTCTTTTTGAGGCTTTGAAAGTGTCTAGGGACTGAACATTTATTATGTTATGATATCAGATCAAAATGCATCTTTTGATTAAGGGCAGCCCTTAAAACTTACCCTGCGAGATTTTTATTTGTAAAATCTCAACATTTTTGCCTGAAACATTATTTCGTATTTTTATGGATTGTTCAATAAGTTTATTCAAAACATTTGTTTCAGTTGACACCACTGTGTGCGCCTTCAAAAGTACTCCAAAAAACATAAGGGAGTATGGGATGATTATCACAATTTATTTAGTCAAATCTTGCAAAATAGATGAATCAAGTTTACAATCGGCCGAAATCTGGCCAATCTTGAATAGAGGTTAATTGAAGATCGAAATTGTTTTGGCCGGAAACGCCAACAATGCGATTCTCGCAAAGGAGACAGTCAATGTATTTGGAAAAAATTGCAGCCTTAGAAGTATAGCTTCAAATTTGGATAGACAACATAATATACTGGTGGCTTTTTTTTTTACTCAATCGGAGTGATACAAACGACAAGAATGAATGATTTTGCAGGAAGACAATCTGATCTCGCTCTGAAATCTGTAGAAACCAGTCAGTTCTCTATGCCATTATAGAGCCAAGGCATACATAAACGTATTGTACAAACTGTCTACTTTGGTCCCTTCAGATCCATACCAAATGCCGTCAATCGTGCTATATCTGATCTGTAAACATCCGCATGGTTACAACAACTATATGATTTGATGATCCGCAAACAGAAGGTGTTGTTTATTTTCTTATTACTTAAATTGGAACTTCATGTAAACAATTGTCAAAAAGAAGCATGCAAACAAATATATTTCGTCTGTTCCTCATTTTTCTCTCTTTCTCTTTTTCTCTGTATATTCTAATATTTAATAAATAATCTAATCATGATGGCTGACACAGTAGCAAAACCTATGCCCCGCTTCCAAGATAATTTCTGGGTAAGAGATAGCTCACATACACATACACATCTAGGAACAACCTATTGACATTTTTACCTACTACAGGAAAGCTCAGACAAAAATGGCATCACTACCTTGATCGAAAGAATGAGAGGTGCTAAACAGACTTGCGAAAGATACAAACATGCTTATGAAGCAAGAATAATGCTGGAGGAAGAATATGGCAAAACCCTGCTACAAATAGCTCAAAAGCAAAAGGCATCCAGCATGGAGAATGGATCCAGTAAAGCAGCTATGGATGCCATGCAACACGAATTCATGTCAGTTGCTGAATCTCACTTGCACTTATCCAAGCTCCTGAGGGAGAATGTGGCAACACCACTGAGTGCCTTGCTGAACAAGCAAAAGGTGTTGAGAAAGGAGGTAATCATGGAATAAAGGACCAAAAGAAAAGACATGCGTTATTCACATTACAAGCTATTCAGGCACAAACGTCTATTCAGAAATTATACAACAACAGACAAATCCAGGTTCATTTTGTTCGAAGGGTAACTTATAGATCTCTTCAAAAAACGCCATCATGTATATACTGACTAGTGCCATGAAAACTTTAGGCTCACAAGCGACACAATCTCGAGATTGAAAAAGCAAATTTAATGGTGCAACAGCAAGCAACTGAAAACGACAAGCGTGCAGCGTTCAAAATGGCAGAAATCACCATTGAAAAGTTGAAAAAGGTCTATGATGAGGCATTGGCTGATTTGGACAAGATTGTACAAGACTGGAATGTGGAGTGGCGAAAGACGTGCGAGAGTTTTGAACAACTGGAGGTGGAGAGGCTCGAGTTTTTCAAATCAAACTTGTCAAATTGTGCCAATCTGATGATTGGATGTCTCGAAAACGAAGTACAAGCATGCGAACGAGTCAACACGGAGGCGCTCAAGGTCAACGTGGCACAGGATCTCGCTGAATTTGTCGAGACCAACAAATCCAGTGAGATTGTTCCATGTAAGTTGTATAGGCAATATATGAAAAGCAAGACGGCTCATGTGTGCATTGCATTAATATAGCACCCATGGAATACATCAAGCTCCATGCCTACCATGAAGCAAACCAAGACAGAGGCGATTTAAAGCACACACACCATATTCTTCGCGACAATATTGATGCTGAGGACCACAGTGAATCAGAAGACCGAGTTCGTGTCCATTTGCAGCATAGAAGAAGAAGATCGTCAGTCTCCAGCATGGCATCGGAAGGTACTAGCAGTATTAGCAAATCATCGCTGTTGATAAAAGCAGCAGCAGCAGCAGCAGCAGCAGCCGCATCTCCTACCACCATAGAGGACAAGACTGCTACTCTAAAAGAAACTGCCAAGCCATCATCAACACCTGCTGCTGATCTACCTTCAACAGAGCCAGTGCTTATGATGGGTGTCATGGAAGTGTATCCTTCTGATGAGGAGGATGACGAGGAAGAGTACGAGTATGTGACTGAAACTGACACTGATTGCGAAGATGAAGCAAAGGAGGAGCAAGTAGAAGTGATTGAAGCCAAGCACCAAGAGCAGCCTGTCCATGTCCCTGTATCACAGGAAGCAAATCAACCCAAAATGGCCGACACAGTGCCAGCATCATCATCACCAGCGACGGATAAAGACCAGGGCGTATCTACTAAATCCAAGCAGGATGACAAGGTAGATCGTCTCAAATCTGCTTACCAAGAGATCAGAAAAGAGAGACAAGCATCACCCTCTTCCCTGCTAGCCAAGCAACCTTTTAATCCTCAAAGACGTGTATCCTTTGTTGAAGACACTGAATCTCCCATTGACATCTCCAAGGCCAGTCCTGCTCGCATTGTTGATCCAACTACCACCGCACTCGATAGAGCCCCTCCTGCTCCTGCCCATCAAAACACTCAACAACAAGAACACGGCCAAGGTGATGATGACGATGAAGAAGAAGACTATGAAGGTACATCTGAATCTGCAGCATTTGAACTCGATGACATGTTGCGAGAATTGGATTCCAAGCGTATTGCTCGTAGTGGCGGTGAAGAAAGTACGCGTTCTTATCGTCATCCTGATATCAAACCTACTGCATCCATGTCTTCTCCAAGCTTATTGCAACAACAGCAACAGCAAAGAAGAAGCATTCCCTCTCAATACTATCAACAGCAGCCACCATCCTCATACCAAGCATCTGGTCGTCGCATGAGCTCCATAGAACCTATCAGGCCCGCATACAGCCAATCTGGCTCTCTTCAGAGCAGCAGCTCCAGTAACTACATGGACCTGTATGACCCATTCAACTCGCTCTCATCCAAAGAAACTGGTACCATCAGCACTAAAGATGGCAGCATAGAGAGTCATCTGAGCAAGAGCACAACGCCCCCCTCTGTGCAACTGATGCATGAACGTATGCTCAAGGATAAGCAACAAGGTAGCTACCATGGTTCTGTGTCATCCTCATCTTCCTCGGGCGGCTCTGTTCGTAGCATCGGTCAGCAGGCGTATCACAATAACAAGTTTATCCAGGATTACTACCGTGTTGGCAGTAACCAGACACCCGTTGCTGCCGATGAGACGACAAAAGAAGGACATTTTATCGATTTTGCATTTGCCTTGTATGATTACGAAGCATCAGATGAAGGTGAAATTGGGTTCAGTGAAGGTGATTTGCTCGGTATCATTAGCAAGAATGAAGATGAAGAACAAGGCTGGTGGGAAGCAAGCTTGTTAAACAGTAGAAACCAAAAGATTGTGCGCACAGGACTTGTCCCCAGCAATTTTCTGGAGACAGCTTCCTCCACTACAAAATGATCCAAAAACGTCATGGCAAAAGCTAAAAAAAAAAAAAAAAAAAAAAAAAAATACCCTTCTTTTTTAATTTATATAAATAAACATGCTCAGAGTTTGTACAAAGAACAGCGTCGTGTTATCAGCGCGTAAAAGAGTACTTTACCGCACTGTAAGGCTCAACACCAACTCTGCTATTGATCACAGCAACAAGATATACGCATTACCCTTTAAACTTCCAGAAGAAAAAGTGCACCAAATTGTCAACATTGCCTCCTATGTGAATCAACATGCATTTTTCAGCATTTTCAAGATTATCAAGAGTGTGAGTAGCCTGCTTGTGTATACGCATCTAACACGATGGTTTTAATAATCTGTCTATGGTAGATTTTCACGCAAAAGATGCCAGATGTCAAAGAGTCCGTGTCATCCATGCAAGTGAGAAAAGCATATATTCCTTTTTGGTATTACGACATGGCCATTTCTGCAGACGTCAAGCCATCCAGCACTAATTCAGCCGAGAAGGAATCGCCTGAAGCATTGACCAAGGCCATGGGACCTCCTCGTCAAATGCTGGGCATCGGATTTGATTGCTACTGGCCTGGTCATACATGGGATCCTGTCTCATACTTGAGTTTTGGTCAATCAGCAGCGACTCGTATGGAGAAACTAGTGCCATTTACTTCTGATTTATACCAGGACAAGGATGTAGAGGTGATTCCATTCACAGTCAACCCCTTCAACGACATTACAGATCGCGCGCCTGAGGCATTGGAAAACTTGACTGTGAATTCATTGACTCACAAGCACGGCATGTACACCATCAACAATGCACAAGTACTCTTCAATGCAGCTTATCCCATCTATTGGCCCGTGTACATTGCACAATTTACTGACAAGAAGGAAACAGAGGAGCCACCAAAGACAGTTGTGATTGGAGCACACAGCAATGATCCCCCCTTGTATCAATGGGACTCCAAGAAGACTGGGTCCGAGCAATGGATCAACAATGGTCCTTGGGTAAAGCTAGATGTGACAGAACCAGAGTGGCAAATGGGTTTTGGCAATCAGCCACCCCTGAGACAGCTGGTGCACCAATTTTTGACGCAAGTGGTGGGTCAATTCCAGACAAATACAGTGAATTGGAAGGACGAACGCATTCAGGCTTATCCCAACTACGAGAATCAGAACAAGGATTATTTGAAGCAGCTATTCAAAGTGTGGGCAGAGAGAAATATGCTGTCTCGCATTGAAGGTATGGATGAGAACCAGAAAACCATTGGGTTGGGAGCAGTGCCTGGTACATCTGAAGCTGCTAGCAAAAATCCTCGACTTCAGGTCAAGACTGTCAGCGAAATACGTCAAGAGATTGAGAGTCGTGTTAGTGGCGAGTTGGTTAAATTAGAAGAGTTGGAGCCTGTGTGGTTTAAAGAGTACAACAAAAAGAAGCAATAAACCGAGAAATATTCCGCTTGCTTGCAGTATCATATATATATATATATAGAGCTGATGTTGCTTCAAGTCATCCATAGTGAATTAGCCTTATTACAGCACTATGAAAAAATATCCTATTGAAAAAAGTTTCCGAAATGTATATAACAACAAGCAAAACAAAAGATTGCCTGTAACGATTCAAAAAGAATCCTCCTTCTTTCAACACAGCACAACACACCATGTCCTCCACCTTTAAAACCGTGCGCAACCCTCTGTTGGACGGCCAAGATCAAGGGTTTCGAGAATCCACCCTACCCTTCAGAAGTCTTTTCCAGCAATCGCATGCCAAACTCTCCAACCGCTTTCAACACCACGCATCGAGAAAGGTTGTACCCACTTCTTCCAAAGAGAGAAAGAAGAAGGTGAGTGCCGTTGTGCATCTATCTCAGCATATTAAACAAGATCAGCAGCAGAGCGAGCCGTATGTTCACTACAATGGTCCATTCGAAACGCTCGATCAACTGCCTAAAGAGAAACTGGATTGGATAACACAGGAAACCAGTAACAATAAGGAACTGAGACACCCCTTATTAGATTATCCTGGCTCCATTGTGTTGCGAAAACCACATCACAAACACTCGTAGGTGCATCCTATGGTTTGTCAGTGTATTCATATTGACGGGCTCTTTGTATAGCTCTTTGCTGGGTCATCATCACCATCATCAGTCCAACCTAATGAAACCAAAAGCAACCTTTTACATTCGAGGTTAGTGTTGGATAACGTGTGTCATTCATATCATGATCCTGATTACTGCTGATAGTGTTGCAAGTGATAAATCAAAATTCATCCAAACGTAAGTCCTTTTTTTTTGGAGTGATTTATGATGCCATGACTCACTCAAAACTAACATAGCATGCTTATTGAGATCATCCATGGAACTGAATGATCAGCTCTTTGAAGGATCGTTTGCCGTAAGCCAAAAGTGTGGTAAAAACGGATCGCAAGCCAATTTAGATGAAACCTACATATTGCAAGTAATCTTAACGATATCCCAATGACAAAGCATCTTATACCATTAATAGAGACGTGGAGAAACCATCATCAGCGACGCTCTCCATCTATGCTCAACCCAAAACCACACTCGGTGCGTTTAATTCCCGTTTTCGTCAGCCAGAAGTTTGCCTCGGCAGCCAAGTGTTCAAGATCCCCATGCGGCCTTGTGAGAAAAAGTTGAAAAGAATTACCATACAAGATGCAGAAGGCAACAACCAGTATCAAGTGCTCGTCGTGTATGGTACATTTGTCAGCTCTCGAGTCATGACACTGCTTGATAATAAGCTCATTTATGAGGGATTTATCACTGTGTATACCAGAGGAAAATTAATTCCTGCAAGTAGAAGGTTTCATTATGTAACGACATGTCCACTAACTCCTTGTGTATAGAGATGGGCACGTTATTGGGCCACATTATATCCTGGTCATATTGAGCTATATGATTTCGAATATAAAAAGGTAATTTCTTTGATAAGGGGGTTTTTTTTTTATCATCGGGTGTTCTAACATCCCCCCTTATTCCTCCTCTCTGAAACATGTAGAGAAGAAAGGCATTATACAAGATATCCATCAAAGCACTGCTGGATGTATTTCACCCGCCTACCGATGATGATGAAAGATTGGTGGATGTAGGATCACTTGGGTTAGCTCTGCAATTCTCTCATGAAAGTCTGTCCATGGAGAACAGCATAAATCCTGACTTTGAATACCGCATGTATATTTTACCAGATGATCATGAACGCTCGCAAGAATGGGAACAAGCATTGATGCATGCTGCCTCTTTGATCAATGAGTTCAGATACGATGAAAGCTACATTGCCACCAAAGTGAATAGCGAAACTGAATTCACACTGCAGACACCACTGGATGAAGACTCAAGCACCAAGGTCATATCCTCTAAATTTCTTTGGTAATCACTGAGTGATCTATGTATCTTACAAACAAATCTTCCCCATCCATTCATCATGAGTTTCAGTGCAATAAATATTTATGATTTTATACCAGGCTGGAAAGTTTCGGATGAATAGCTTTTTGTATATATAAAAAAAAAGAATTTTAACTATTAAATATACCTTTCGTTTTTTTCTCAAACTATAACTAGATATATAAATGAATGTAATTTGGCATGGCATTCTTTCCTATAAATGACTATGGACACTACAATCAGAAAACAACACCATTATTACCATCATCCACCAAAGCATGTCAGCACACCGTTAGGACATATGCTTTCATTGATTGAAGTGCCAACAGCATCCAATGTTCGCTTTTTGATACTGGATTGTCCCACTGAATCGACACTATCCCTCTACGTGGATGAATTCGTCCACTACAATGTCTCCACGGTGGTTCGATGCTGCCAGCCCACATATAATGCACAGATATTAATATCCAAAGGTATTTCAGTCATTGATTTACCCTTCAAAGATGGCGGCATAGTGAGTATCTCTATATCAAGATGTATTTGATGAATATATAGCTCATCCCATGTCTAGCCGCCCGAAAGCATCATCCATGATTGGCTTCATACTATCCAAAATGCCTCAAATACCACGATTGCAGTCCACTGTGTTGCCGGATTAGGTAGAGCGCCTGTTCTGGTTGCAATAGCTCTGATTGAACTAGGCATGGCGCCATTAGATGCAATCCAGTTCATCCGAGAGAAAAGAAGAGGCTCCTTCAATAAACCCCAAATCACATTTCTTGACAATTACAAGAAGAGAAAACCTGCGAATCAATCATACTCTTTCCGCACATCGTTTGGTAGGATGTTTGGGTTTGGACCAAAAACTGTATCTCAACAAACTTGAGCTGTTTATTCCAAATCATAAAAATCGATATGGCTGCCACTTTCAAACTTGTCTTGTGCTAATAATTGGTACAATCTGGATGCAGAGTCCTTCATATCAACCAAATTACCCTAATCATGATATATGTTGAATGATCAATAATAATAAAAAAAAAAAAATCTTTAAAATTACCTCATCTGCCATCTTGGTATACAGCTGCTTTTGCTCTTGATCTCCAAGCGTCTCTCGAACATGCTGTTGCATCTCATTATTCAATGGTCCTGGTGCGTAGGATAGAGTGCGAATGGATGGCTCTTCTTTTGTCACCACCTTCAAAAGCATATCTCTAGCAGATTTACCAGTTGCATACAATGCCCAGTTGGGGAATGCTTCAACGGCAAGCAATGACGAAATGTTGACAATGGAGATGTTGATGAGACCGTTATTGAACAATTTGATGAACCCAGTTCTGTTGCGTTGGTTAACTACCAGATATGAGCTTTGTGGTATTTATGCATACTTACACCATAGATATATAGGATGTAATGTTCAAATCCACATAGTCTTGAATTTCAGAGGCATCGTAATCCCCAACCTTCTTGCTTAAATCACCTGTTGATCCTGCATTGTTGATAAGAACGGCTTTTGTAATTGGCGCTATATCATTCTCTTGCCATGCCTTTTTTTCATATTTGAAGTTAGCAAATCAGCACAGGTGTGGGATGTGACCCATCTACTATCTTACCTTGATCATATTACTGATCTTTTCAATGACGGACACTTGGGCTTGCTTTGCTCCTTTGAAATCAGCGTGGGCAACGTAATGACAGCTGATGTACTTGCTATTATCCAACTTGACGCTTTCAAGTTGTGATTGATCTCGGCCCACCAAGATGAAGCTGGTCTTTTCTTGATTCACTTTGGAGGCAATAGTTTCTGCAATTGCTCTACCAAAGCCACGATTAGCGCCAGTGATAATATATACGGTATGCTTTAATAACATGTTGAGAGAGACTGTGGGAAAGAAAGCGAAATAAGTGTATTTTTGCGCGACACGACATGTTTAATGAATTGAAAGTCATGGGATTCAAAAATCTAGATATACAATAGGCTTGATCCTAAAGTAGATCTTCATTGCAGCATGTACATCATTATGGAAAGTCGGTCAAGCAATGCCCCTTTTCATTGATTTTGCAAACGGCTAGCATCTGTAAGTGCCATATTGTATAGATACTCATTATTGCCCATGTATGTGCCATGGCAAATAGGCTGAATAGATTTGCATCATCATAAGAGGTGTCCATTCCACTACCTCTTGTAGCGCAAAATAAATGTATCCTCTGGATGCATTCTCAATAAAACTGTAATTATTTGACAGATTCGATTTTACACTGTATTTTGCTATGACACTAATCATCTTTGATGGCTACCTATCAGTGTTTGCTGCAAGAACAAACCATACCCTATCTACATGCTTTTCTTTTCTTTTCTCATTTATATTCTCATAGCAACAATACACACCAAGGCAGGCTCAAGTCCGTATCAAGACACTATACGAGCTTGGTAACAAGACTTAAGGGCCAGGAAAGTCAATGTCTTTTCTGACAGCCTACGATAAGAAGCTTCAGCATGATCCCATTAACTGCAATGCCAAAGAGGAATGGCACTAGAGCATTTAGAGTGTTTGTAATCTTGCCTGGTAACTTACCACACCCAATGCTTTGCAGATGCCACGTTCAGCATTATATCTTTGATAGAACAATAATGTAGGCTTTCCAGAAGTTTTGGTAAGGCTCTTTGAATTACAGAGAACAGCAATATCTATTGCACAGGAGGCAACGTCATGATGGCATTCAGTAATAGAGGACCGATGGCTCGAATTTGTCTCAAAGATCTCAAGTTAAGTTTTGTTATTCCAGTGGCTCGTATTATTCTCGAATCGTTTCTCAGCATTGACGAAGAACGCAAACATGTCGTAAACATAGGCGACAATGTCAACAGAACAAGGCTGGGAAATCTTCAGCATGCTTCTTTCTGATAAAGGTCGACTGTGCAGCATGCACAAAGGGATTTTTCGGCACCACCCTGTTATTATGAAGACGTACTCCTTTGTGCTTCTATGAATGATTACTTGCATCTCTTACACGCCATGAGCCACCAAACATTTGAAGGTGTCCTATCACCAGGATGAATAATAATATTTTATTAAAATGACAATATGGTAAGCAACGACCATATATCCAACGTAGTAAAAGCGATCCCTTAGAAGGAAGAGTTTCGAAATCAACCAATTGAGGAAAGATTAGAGTACAACTAACAAGATAAAACATCATCTTACCAAAATTTCTATAGGAAAGAATGGAAGCACACAAAAACAAGCTCAATTACTGTGGTGTCTCAAACAGTAAACCCCTAGCTACAACATGGAAATTAACACAGAAAGAAGCAAGTCTATTACCAGTATTATTAGAAAAAGAGATGCTCTGTCTTGACAAAATTATTTGGTGTCCACCATCTCACTATTAAAAAAAGAATGACTTAGACTGTATCTATTTAGATACCTCTTTTATTAAAAACACAAAACTATCATATGTGACAGATCAATAGGAAATTAACTAGTTGTAACCCTTTGCTACTTCAACCTCTCAGCCAATCAGATTGCGTAAAAACTCCGCTGACCTAAAAAAAATTTTGCGAGGGTTTCCCTCTGTTTTGATGTGAGGCAAAATTTTAAGCGCCGCTATAGTAGCAATATAGCTGTCACTATCATCAAATTTCCCTCAGGTGCTAGAGCATGCCTTACTTACACCACCTAGCTTTAGATTCTGGCATTGAAACCCTCAATCATCACTAAAGTAAGTAGCGATAACCAAGTGGAGGCGGCCTATCTACCTCCTAGCCTCGGATAAAGTCTTGTTGAGCTTCAGGGATAGGCACATCCACACAACGTAAAAAAGGTATGCTTCAAAGAAACATAAAAATAATAAATGAAGAAAAGAACATACTACTATAAGAGTATAGTGGTATGTAGGCAAAAAAAAAAGAAGCACTCACACGAAGCGAGTCAAAGAAAAGCGTAACAAACACAACATCAAAGGTGTTCAAAGAAACTCGTTATTGTTGCATAAATGAGTAACGTGCATGGTAGTAATAGTCGGGTGTAAAGCAACATGGCACAAATACACACAACTGCAAAAGCAACAGTGGTGTTATAAGTTTGCAATACAACATAGTGACTAAGGTTGTTTCGTGTGAAGCCACAGAGGAAACACTACCAACAAAAGAAAAGAAAAGAAAAAGAAAAAAAGCGCAACAAGGCAAACATCATGAATGCATTATCACGAGAAAGGAAGTAACAATATAAACGTTCAAAGAAGGTTTATAATATCATTGCGACCAGAAGAAAGAAGATACTTGCCACTTACCACAGCCAGAGATAGACCAGAGAACGAGCATGCACCAAAGACAGTAGACCATAAAAGACCATATATTAACAACGGCAGCGGCAGCAACACCAGAGACCAGACAAAGACCAAAGAAATTGCTTACTAAACCTACCACAGCCACGGATAGACTAGAAGATTATAGGCAATTGCCAGAGATAGGCCAGAGAACAAGCATACAGCGAAGACAGTAGACCAGGAAACACCAGATTATCAACAACACCAACAACAACACCAGCGGCAACACCAGCAGCGTAGAAAAGCCGAAGAACGAGTGACACCAGAGACCAGATAAAGACTAACGAAGCAACTGTCAGAGATGGAGACCAAAGAAGCAGCTACCAGACATAATAAACCAAAGAAGCAGACAGCAGAATAGCAGAGAAGTAGTGGCAGCAGCGCCCACGGCAAACAGGCAAAAAAAATAATAGAAACCCAATATAAAAAATTTGATTAGTGCTTGTTCTACGTCTTTCTGTGCTCGTTGTCGAACGGTACCTGCTATATTCCACTTAAAAGAAGCAGTATCAAGTGCTTTTAACAATGCAAGGCCGTGTTATCAGAAGCTAGAGTGTTATATTCAATCAAAAGGGTCCCAAAACCAATATGGTTTGATACTAAACGCGTTTTGCAAAAAGGGCAAAAAAAAGGAGGGTATGGAAAAATGAGAGAGCGCCCTGTTCGACGTCACGGCCAGTAGATTTGGTCCCAGTATTCTGCCGTCGTGGTAGCCGTAACTGCTGCAGTTTAATTTGCAATTGTGCAGTGGGTATTTTCGTCTTCAAACTTGACTTGATTTGATATCCTTTGAACGTTTTTGACAATTTAACTATGAAAATTGTCGTTGTCACATCCAACGTTACAATACATCTTTAGAGAACTAAAGAAGCCGCATCGAATGGTGCTAATTACATGCAGCTTTCAGACCGAAAATAATGAGCAATTTTCAAAAATATGAAAACAGGTTTTCTGTGAATATGTCAAAATCTAGCATATAAAAGTTTCATATAAACAGCTTCCAGTGTTGCGTTGCATCTTTACAATCAGTTTGATTCAATATTTATTATAGAAAAAGCCGTCATTTTTGGGGTGAAAAACGCGATCGTTTGATTTTCAAGAATTTTTCCTTACTAGTACACATGAAAATCATGAGGATTTTCATGAATTTGCAACGACCTAAAACATTTTGAAATAAAGCATCAGTAACTAAAGCGTGGGCAAGGAGAAGCGTTTGGCCCTATTCCGAGCTTCCACAACGCTTTGTAGCATGAGTTATTCGTGCTTCAAAATGGTTAAATTTGGACAGAATTTGGCCAAAAATAAGGCGTAGTAGATTGTGTTGCCAAGGGAGTCAGTACATCACGGTTCTGTCTGATGACCCCGATGTTCTGCATTGTACGGAAATCAATATCTAAGCGATTAACGCTTTTATTCTACTTCTGAGAAGGTTCAGGTCTTCTTTTTTGAAATGCGCGACTACAATAATTTCTGTTGAGTACAAAGAATAAAAGGATTATTATTTGTAGCTTATAAAAAATGTTCGATATTATAAGATCAAGAAAAGATTTATTTGAATAAGATCAGACACAAAAACTAAAGATTTATTGATGAAGACAAGAGTTATTCTATTTATACTAAGTTCTGAATGCCAAAGTAGCAATTTATCTTGTACAACGCTTATCACATCTGGTGAACCTCAGTATTTAGATAGCTGAGATGCACTTCAGTTATCATTGTGGAATACATCCACTATGATCTGCATTCCGACAGTTCATCCAGTTACCAGATTTAGATATAAGCTGTATGTACACTGGATTAGATGTACGATATCGATTTATACTATGAGAAGATATGGACTTCAGATACGCTAGTACTATAAGATTCATACTATATAAGATATAGGCTATAGATGGCACCACGGACATGGATGGCACTATTGATGAATTCGTAATAATAAGTCGATGATAATAATCAGTTGTCAACTGTATCTAAAACGAAAGCAAAGAGCTTCTTTATTACAGGGCATCTAGCTTGCTTAAATATGGTAGATCCCTGGTCAATGACTACTACGTTGAGATGGTATATAAATAGCAGGCCACTGGGACCTTATGGATTGTTGGTATAGCTTGTTGAGAGGCCACCTAAGTCGATATGTTTCATGTAGTGTAGGTGGATCTCGATATCTTGACATTGGGGAGATTGAATGTATTGTAGTTCCTGAGGCACCTGTGCACACACAATTGACTGGACTTGTAAACATAGATGTGATGTGATACGATAAACATCATCTATGCTGCTACACTGTAAAAGGTGGCTTGAGGAGAAAGTGAATGTAGCCTAAGATGCATGCTTGTATGCAACAACTATAGACTTATACTTGTATTCCGACATTGACTACGGATGTTTACCATATCTGGATAGGCACCAAGATTAATGCAATATGAGCTTGTTGCTTCAGATGTGCACTTTATGATCCACGCTATAAGACACATGCTTATATCCGCGATACTAGCTACAGATACTTTATGTACTACAGACTTGTACTATATATGAGACATGCTATAGACATGCATACGATATGCTATAGACATGCCATATATCCAGATACATACTAAAGATGTATGCTTAGCGATATACACTCAGATATGTACTATTAATATAGACTAAGAAGACTGTACCTATCGGATACATGCTACTAGATCGATATTAATTATCCTTATAGAAAGGATAGATCAGGGTACTTCGGATGAGAGTCTAATTATCCATCCAGACAGAGCTAAATCATTATTAGCTTGCTGGAGTTGTCTTTTAGCATGATTAGACATTAGTTGATTTGAGTTGACTTATTTGTTAATCTAATTAATAGAACTTTTATCCATTGTTATAGTATATAAGAAGGATCATCTACCTGGCCAGTAGAGAGACTTCAGTTTACTTTACACCTGTCAGTTTGATAATAAAACATACCTTTATCAAGTTGACATTACTGTTTTTTTATTCTTTTTTTTCCGTGAATTTTAGTCTATCAAGCCTCAAATTCCGCAATCATAGCTTGTCTGTGTTGTTGCACAACACAGACATATCTACCCATCAAGAATACCTTAATCTTTATAGACAGTTGTAGCCCTTCTGGCACAACACAACTGTTTTATCCAGAAGAGCTTGGAATTCCCTGTTCTCAAGCAAGTACGGATTAAAACGCCAGCTGCCAGGACCCATCTTCACGCCAGAGGTGACCAGATCAATAGTTAGAAGACTGTGATCTGTCCATGCCGGAGGGATGTGATGAATCTGAGTATTGAGCACACGAGTTGCCATACGAGGAGGCGCAAAAATGTAATCAATGGTGGAACTTGCACAAGGGAGAGTCATAGTACCTCTTGGGGGGAAACAGTTAAGAAAATGTGTATTTAACCATTCGACAAAGGGTTTGATCTTTGGGCCACGAGCTTCACCCGCATCATGCAAATGGATATTGAAATCCCCAAGCAAAATCCACTGGAAGTCGAGCATATCAGACCAAAAGGGCATGGACAGTAGCTCTGGCAGGAAAGCATGACGACTGGCTGCCTGTGATGGCATGTACACATTAGCCACTTGGCAGATGACTTGGTGAGCGTCCTTGACTGAGGCAGTGATGATGCAGCGTTCGTCGCGAGAGATGACAGTGTCCATGAGCTCTAGGCCGGGTTTTAGGCAGATGATGGCCCAGTGTTTGGAGACGACAAAAGCAGACTGAGGAAACATATAGGAAAAAGTACACACCTTATCATAAGTGAGATGCTCTTGTTGACAATAATGAGAAACCTCCTGCAGACATAGAATATCAAGCTGAAGGTTTTTGGAGTGTAAGAAGGAAGTGAATTCCCTGTGTGTTGATTTAGAGGAACCCTTAAAGATGCTTCGGGCATTAAGAGTACCTATACGCAATGATTTTTGTATCATTAAGCCCAATCGGCGGCACGATGCACTGGAGTCTCCGACATAGACGTCGAGCTCACGGAATGACGGCGGAAAAGAGGGAGCACATCAGACGAAAAACCAGTGTTCGCAGCACTACTACCTTGGGAATCCACACGCGTGTGGAGAGACACATCGAGAGGCGCATGCTTGGAGGCATAGCTACCCTGGGGAGCACACTGGAGAGCCTTGGGATCGACATCCATTGCTTCAGCCGTTGAACTGCGTCTCGGGCGGCCAGTGGACCCCTTTTGCTTGTTGGCAGGCTGAGCGGCGGCGGCGGCTTGACGTTGCATTTGCTGCTCGGCGACATCATGGATGGTGGAAGTGAATCTATGGCGCTTCTCTCGGTTATTCTCGCGGGTACGGCGTTGAGCGTTGACAGTATTGGGTTCCTCAATGGCCTTCTTGCTCGATTCGTACTCATCTGGTGCCTCCTCAAAAGTGGTCTCCTCTTCGTTGCAAAACCTAGCGTTGTGACCAAGCTTGCGGCACTTGAAGCATTGGCGCTTCAATAGTACAGGGCACGCAGCGCGGATGTGGCCACTCTGGCGACAGAAGTGGCAGACGGGTGGGGCACCGCGATATGTGGCAGGCACATAGACATCCCAAGCGGACAGATACATCATGCGGCTCATTGGCTGGACGACATAATACTCCTTGCCTTCGGTGTTCTTGTATTTGACAGCAGTGTCAATCATAAAACTGATATGACCCTCAAAGAAGCCATCAATGGTGTATTTTTTGATCTGGTACACCTTACCATAGTACTTGAGCGAACTTTACAAATCCTCCACGAACGTCTCCATATTGGGCATACGTGTTGTATTCACACATCTAACTGTTCCTAAATCACAAACTCGTAGATTGAATTCAGTAATAAACTATGCACATATGGAGCATATGTAAATAAACTGTATCAACATATAAACGATAACCATGATATTCACATAAGCTAAGTTTCAGTAAGCTATTCTCTATATGTCAAAAGATAGCAGATAAGGAATGTAAGTAATTAACGTTGCCAAGAGCAACTAAAGATATTTAGACTGATCATCTATATCTGAAATAATTACCATTTAGCATAAGTGAGGATTGACACTAGAACTTAGCATGAGAACACCATTCTAGACGGGTGTGTAAACAATCCATGAAACATACATATAAATTGCAGTAGACATTCACTCTTCCCTCTCCTCTTCATCTGATTTTACGAAAATAAACTTATATCCATTCTCACGTACTACTTTCAGATTTACAACAATGCGGACGATAGTCATCTGGACATGAGTCAGCCTGCCCTCGCTGTTGTCCTTGGCGGCCGTAGTCTTGTAGACGATCTTCTGGTGGGTGGTACCAAGGCTGATGGCGAGTTATGCATCCTCCGCGTTGCCAAACTTTGTCTCCAATAAGAAATCGCTGTTGGCCTTCTGGTGGTACAAACTCAGGGGCCTAAACTGAACCAGGGGAAGATTTGTTCCTTTATCAAGCGATAAGCTTCGGTACGATGCGCAAATGTTTTGCTTGGAAAAGTAAACAAAACAGATCCAGGCGTCAAAGCCTGCTGAAGGATGGCTGCAGCCTTCCGGGTAAGAACTTCGGCTTTCAGATCGTCATGTTCGTACAGAACTTCAGGAACTAGTTGGAATTGATCATCTTTAGCTCGTTGAGGTTGAGCATTGATGACCTTCTTGGACTGGCCTCGAGAAAGAACCTGGATCCAAGAAAGGTCAGTGGTGGTTGCCATGAGTGTGGGAAGTGTAACGCTGGAAGTGGTAAAGTTTTGGTGTGATTTAAGCAGTGGCGTAATTTTTTATCATAGGGGTAGTGATGGTTACGCAAAAGAGTCTATATTAAATCAAATTGTTGCTATCGATCCAACGCAATCCCTGAAGCTATTTTTGTAGGACCTTTATATGGAAAATCTCGACTTTTTGGCCAGAAGCCTCATTTCATATTTTCATAATTTGCTCAATAAGTCTATTCAAAACATTTACCTTACTTGGTACCATTGGATGCATCTTGGAAAGTACTTTGTGATTGTATTAGGAAACAAAGGATGATCTTCACAACTTATATTGTCGAATCTTACAAAATAATTGAATCAAGTCGAAGAAAGACACTTTCTGTCCAATCTTGAACAGAAAAAAATGTTCTAAATTTGAATCAATTTTGGCGGCTGGTGCGGCCGGCTGGCAGACTCAATGCCCTCCTTTCCATCATGAAGGCAATACAGTAATAGATACTTTTGAAGCGTACGAAAAGTAGGTGGCAAATCATATAGCATCGTCGTTAGCTATGCTGCTCTTTTTGAATTTATATTTGATAACGCCAGTCTATCAAAATACTTGTTAGATCAATTTTTTTCCTTTTTGAGGCTTTGAAAGCGTTTATGGACCATAAATTTATTACGTTATGACGAGCATTTCGAATCTTCGGCTAGGTTTTCTGACCTACGTTTTGATTTTTTGGAAGCTAATCTACGTTCAGATGGCACACACTGCCGCAGACCTTTGGTTAATATCCCAAGATTAATAATAATAGGTAAAATGTTAGAAGAAACTTGTTTGTTGATTGATAGTGATTTAATATAAAATATCTAATCATATATGAACCATGCCAGACAAATGCCTGGCAACTCAGTTTCCATGTTAAGGTTGTAAAAGTGTCTAGTGATTGAGCATTTATTATGTTATGATGATATCATATAATATACGAGTGTATTTATACTTGGGATAGCTCTCTACCATCGCTTCATATGGACGAGAATCAACCTGAGCAGTGGCAGCTTGCACTACCAACTGTCCTTGCTCGTCTCATCAAAATACTGCTATTTTCATTTTGACTTTCCACTTACACACGAAAACCCTTTACCTTATATACGGATTTAACTCTTATCCAATGCTTTACATCCGAGTACACGAAAATACTTCATATACCGGCAAACAGCATATCTGTATTGCCTCTTATAACCCAAAACTATGCAAAACACAGCAAACTCTGAGTGCATTTGAGCCGTGATTTCTCGCTTTAGAAGCTGTTTTAGATTGTCAGAATAGTACCAAATAGTTGATCTCATCTAAGAATTGCTTTCTGACGCCCTTGCTCAACTTTTTGGGGACCAAAAAAACATGGCCAAAAAGCATGAGGTACCCCTCATGGCTTTCATCGAAAATCAAACGATCGCATTCTTGACCTTGAAAATGAAGACTTTTACTATGGTATATCTTGAATCAAAATGTTTCTATCGATCCAAAGCAACCTCTGAGATCATCTTTGTGGGACTTTGTTATGTAAAATCTCGACATTTGGCCAGAAACCTCTTTTCATATTTCCATAAATCATTTGATAAGTTTATTCAAATCATCTATTTTACTTAGTACCATTGGATGCACCTTGAAAAATACTCCATGAAAGCTTGAAGAATCTTTTTTTTTGTAGGAAAGACGAGCTCTAGGTTTTTACTTAAAGTCCTTTAAATGTCATACTGAGGGATAGAAAAGACTGTTGGTGGACCCAATGTCTGCAATGAAGGGGAATAAGATAGTTTTGAACTAAGTTGGGAAAGAAATCTACTACTAATAAGGTGCGAAACCTAGAGCCAATGCAATCTTGCGGAAATCGTCAAAATATAGATCATGGATAAGAGTACAAAATACCAAACGAGGATATCAGTACTACCTCAAAAAAATCAAACAACTTGCGTTCACCAAGATTTGAACTGGGATCCTCCCGTTGGCATACGAGAGTTCTACCACCTCGCCCTACCACCAGGGGCCGCTTAAGGAAGCATGGGGTGATCATCATATTTTACTTAGTCCAATCTGCAAAAATAGCTTAATCGAATCCAAAACCATCAAGATTTGTCCAATCTGGAACAAACTATGTATTGTTCAAGTAACCAAATGTTATGATTGCGTGAAAGAGACTGATCTTTTATTATGTTATGACATGTAATATATATATATATATATATATATATAAATATGAGTGCTAACGTGACAACTATGATTCTAGGGTTGAATTAATTTTGGCTTGTGGGGCCAGCTGGCAAACTCAACGCCCTTTTCATACTTCAATACAGCAGTAGATGCTCTTGAAGCGTATGAAAAGTAGGAGGCAGGCCATGAAGCTATCGTTTATAATAATATTTTATTGCCTTCTATATCGTTCATAATGATATTTTATTGCATTTTATATTTAATAACGTTAGTCTGGACATGGACGATGCATGGGTTGCATAAAATGTCTGCAGTAAGTAGTGAAATCTCTGAGGCTCCGAGCCGTCGTTCAAATAAAATGTTGGTAGCATTGAGCAGAGGAAAGAGGGTAGAACTAACAGTGGTTTTTGTTGATTGATTGTAAAATCATTATTCTCATATGAGCCAGGCCAGATAGGTGCCTTGAAACTCAGGTTCCATATTAGGGTTGTAAAGTGTATAAGGACTGAACATTTATTATGTTATGATATTAAATCAAAAAGTTTCTATCGATCTAACGTAACCCCTGAAACTACCTTTTTGGGATTTTGATATGTAAAATTTCAACTTTTTCGCCAAAAACGTCATTTCATAATTTCGTAAATTGCTCAACAAGTTCAATCAAAATATCTATTATACCCAACACTGTTGGATGCGCATTGAAAAGTTCTTCTGATGAATTCGTAATAATAAGTCGATGATAATAATCAGTTGTCAACTGTATCTAAAACGAAAGCAAAGAGCTTCTTTATTACAGGGCATCTAGCTTGCTTAAATATGGTAGATCCCTGGTCAATGACTACTACG